TCCAGTATATGATACACAATTTCTCTGTAAGAAACTCCACCTCCTGTTTCCAAGATGGTCATTTTGCTGCTTCCAGTTTCAGCCAAACTCAAGGACTCCAGCCCATCCTCTCTGGGCAGTCTGGAACAGATCCTGTAGTGAAAGACAGCAGCAGTTTAGAAGAGTCTGCTCCTAATGACCAGTTCTGCCTAAGTGTGTGATGAGGCTTCCTACCCTAAAAATGAGCTTTAATTTGAAGACCAGCCACAGGGTGCTGTCTGGGGAATGTTTATTTTTACAAACCCTCTCAGCAGGTGCCTTCCTACGATACAACACTGGGGTATCTGCCAGTTTGCCCAAGGAGCCATTTCTTCCCTCAGCTTGTCAAAGCAGATTGTGTGCCATAGATCCCAGCCTGAGACAGAGCCTAGCGTGGCCCCTGAACATGTGAAAGCACAACATGCTCCATCCACAGGGATTGCAGCAGCATCTGTGCTTGCTTTCTGGCTGGAGAGCTACTGAGCTGCTCTGTCAGCCTTGCTGGTATGGCATGTGCATCAGCTTTGCCTGCCTGAGTGTGCTCTGGCATTTTGGTTTGCTCAAGTTGCTTCAGTTGCACTCCCTTAGAACAGGATCTCGGTTTCAACTCTCCAGGAAGGGATATGGGATGTTTGGAAGAGAAACCTGTTCTGTGACTGGTGCTGTGGGTAGCTGATGGGCCATCAGCCGTGGCTCTGGTCTACTCTCCCTGTTGTAGGGAGTGTGGTGGGTTTGGGGAGGGTGGAGAAATTACTGTTGGCACCATTGTCCCTCAGTCATCTTTAAAGCCCTTCCTAGCTCCTGGTGAAGGTGGCACAGCTCAGACTGTGGCTTTCCCCAGGTGTGCTGGCTGGTGGCAGGCTCTGGCATATCTTGGGAGCACATGTCAGCTGTAACCACAAGCACTGGCAGTGGGTATTTTGCTTCTCCTCGTGCCCTGCAGTCCCCAGGGCAATAGCAGGAATTGAAAGGTCATTACCAGAAGAAAGCTCTTTGCCAACCCTGATCTTTTAGCTGAAAGTGCAGAGCTTCTGCTGCCCTGAAAAGCAAGGAGTCTTTCATTCTGTTTCCTCTTCACTTTTGCTTTTCGTGGTCTGTGCTGTCCCACAGCAGTGTGGCACTGGCAGGAGTTCCCAGTACAATGCTGTGGTGACTGAACCTTTGGGAGCCAGGCAGTGGATATCCCACCAGGCCTGTTGATGGAAAGCCAGGGCGTGACCTGGGTCTGCCACCACCCACACTGCCAGGGCTTGTAACCACACGGCCCGAGTTACAGCCACCAGGAGTTAGAACTCCTAACTCATGAGTTTAAAAAAAAATTTAAAAAAAAAAAAGGGGAAAAAGACCTCAGGTGCTCCTCTGTTTGCCTGCTGTTATCTCAGTTTGAGTTTGTAATGAAGGGTTTCAAGCCTTTTGTTCTGTCAGGTGGGCCCAGTTCTCCTGTGTCACCACAAACAGTGAGAGAGAGCCCTTAACTGGGCCTTGGGAAAGGATATGTAAAGAGATTTCCACCTTGGTAAACTGCATATTATGTGTCAGGCCTTGTGGATGGTGTAACATCTTCTGCCATTAGCTGGACTTGCTGGTCCAGGCTGCTCTTTCTGCTGGGAAAGGTGACCTGGCAGGACATGGTGTGCCCCATGTCTTCCTTCAAAAGCTTGTAGAGGGATTGAGAGGCAGCACAGCTCAGCTCTCAAAAGCCAGATTTCTTGGGGGTCTGGGATGGGATAACCACTTCAAACTGAGATTTATTTCCTAGGCAGTTAACTCTTCCCTCTCCATGTCAGGATAGCCTTGAAAATGGCTGCAGCTTCTTTTTGGGATTTTGTTTTGGTTTTGGGTTTTTTGTTTGCTTGTTTGTTTGAGTTTTTTTTTTAATTTGGACAAAAATTATTTATTGTTTCATTAGTATTTGTATGTAGAGTTGTGTTACATCTATTGACAGATTTAATGTGGTAGTAAAATAGCAAGGAAGGAGAGGCTAACTTAGTATTTGTGCCCTTAACTGGGTTGCCTGTTGGGTCTGGGGTGGGATTATTTGTTCACTATACAAACTGTTTGATTACTATGTCCATTCTACAGTGTAACTTAGTGACAAGTGGCTGTAAATGTGGAAGAACATCAGTGTAGCATTAAGGATGATCCCACAAAGGTTTTCTGCAAGCTCCTCAGCCCTAGAGAGAGATCTAGAAAACAGTAACTGCTCAAATCTGCCACCTGCAAGCAGGCTGTTGCCTGTTCTTACACAGTGCAGGACACCCCACTCTTCATTTCACAGTTACCTTGGTAAAATTAGTCTGCCAAAAGTTAAGCAGAATATTTTCTTCTATTATTCCATCTGTTTTCTTGTTGGTTTTCCAAGCTCATCTACCCTATTTTCCTTTTTCAAAGCCAGTACCATGAATGTACAGCCAAGGCTTACATGTCTATAAATACTTCTTCTTCAAAATGGTTTCCTTCCCAGTGCTCATGACAAAAATTAAACCCTTCAAAGTCTTTTGGTTTTTCACAGTGTCAGCTAGGAGGAGCCTTACGGAAGCCATGTGCCACTTCCCACTGCACACAAGAATTTGGAAAGCCTGTAACCAAATGGCTGCCACTTAGTGCTGGAAGTGACAAAAGGCCCCTGGAGCACCAGGATTCTCATGAGCTCTTTGAAATAACAGAGTAGAAAACTGGAAAAGGAGGCTCTGGAGAAGCAGCAGATGAATTTATGAAGCCTGTGGACGTGGAACATGAGCATGGGTGAGAGGACAGTCCCAGGACAAGCACAAAGAGCCAGTGAGACAAGGCTCCTCGGAGAAGTTGTGGTAATGAGGGACAGAGCAGAGCTGAAGCTCAAGAGCTGAGTGCCTGAGGAAGCAGCCTGGCCCCCTGTCCTGCAGCCAGGGCTCCTTCTGTCATTGCACCTGACAGCAGCCCTTTGACACTGATCCTTCTAAAATTTTTATTGCAGATTATGTTAAATCCAAGAGCAGACCCAGAACAGCAGTGGGGAAGGAGATGGGAAAAGTGAAGTCCAATCTAAGTGTTGGGTTTTAGCTACCTGAGATTGTCAGTGCTCTTCTCTCTAGAAAAAAGGAGTTGGCTTTACAGAACTATTATGATTATTGTTACATAATAATTGTTACAACAGTCTTTATTATTGAAAAGAACATAAATATTCCTCAATCAAGCTGAACTTGAGTCACATTAGAATTAATTTATTTAAGTACTATTTTTTATTGAAAAGGCTTATTTAGAACTGCAATGAAAAATGAACAGCTGTGGTGTGGGGACTGCCTTTCAAGCTTGCTCTGTGTCAACGCAGGAACTGGAAAAGGAGGCTCTGGAGAAGCAGCAGATGAATTTATGAAGCCTGTGGATGTGGAACATGAGCATGGGTGAGAGGACAGTCCCAGGACAAGCACAAAGAGCCAGTGAGACAAGGCTCCTCGGAGAAGTTGTGGTAATGAGGGACAGAGCAGAGCTGAAGCTCAAGAGCTGAGTGCCTGAGGAAGCAGCCTGGCCCCCTGTCCTGCAGCCAGGGCTCCTTCTGTCATTGCACCTGACAGCAGCCCTTTGACACTGATCCTTCTAAAATTTTTATTGCAGATTATGTTAAATCCAAGAGCAGACCCAGAACAGCAGTGGGGAAGGAGATGGGAAAAGTGAAGTCCAATCTAAGTGTTGGGTTTTAGCTACCTGAGATTGTCAGTGCTGTTCTCTCCCTAAAGAAAGGAGTTGGCTTTACAGAACTATTATGATTATTGTTACATAATAATTGTTACAACAGTCTTTATTATTGAAAAGAACATAAATATTCCTCAATCAAGCTGAACTTGAGTCACATTAGAATTAATTTATTTAAGTACTATTTTTTATTGAAAAGGCTTATTTAGAACTGCAATGAAAAATGAACAGCTGTGGTGTGGGGACTGCCTTTCAAGCTTGCTCTGTGTCAACGCAGGACTTGTTTCTACTGAAGCCTTCAAGAAGCCTTGAGTGAGCCAAGGCAGCAGTGCTGCTTGCTCCACTCTGGGAAGGGAGCAGGGGATGCACACCAGTTACAGCTCACAATGTGTTCCGTGAAAGATCATTGCAGTAGAAAGACTTAATGAGCCTTTAATTTTGGATTGTGTCTTTTCTGGAAAGGGCTTTGCTGTCTGCCAGGCCGTGCAATGTCTAGCAGCATTTACAAGGGAACAACAGTCATTATGACTTATTTCATTATTAGCTATATTATTTTAAAGCAATTTTCTATTTTTAACACTGCTGGGAGGACTGTTTGGAAAACCCCAAAGTGGAGGATCCCTGATGCTATGGAAATTTGCTGATCAAGTTGCAGACTGGCTTTGCCAGCTCCCCAACACTGCCCCTCTGTAATTAGGCTGTGACCACTACCCTGGATTCTCAGTGTTTCATATGGATAGTTGATATAAACACTCCTTTGTGTTTATATCAACAGGCTGTAGCCTCATGTCAGAGCCTTTGGATTGTCTGGAAGAGCAATTCCAAAGGTGAGCCTTTGGGATGACCCTTTTTCATGCTGCCTTACTCCCACCTGCAGCTAAGAGTGTACAGTTGTGCTTCACACATTATTTGTTCAGCCACTCACTACAAAGCCCATACAGGCTAGGAATGATCGGTACAGCCCTTTTTTCTTTACTTTTTTTTTTCCTCCTACAACGTCAACACAGTGACAACAAAAATAAAAGGGTGGAAAATAGAACTGCCTCCAGGGGCTTACCTTTACATAAGCTTCTCGGCAGGCTGGTAGAGCTGGGGCTGTTCAGCCTGGAGAAGAGAAGGCTCTGGAGAGACCTCACTGCAGCCTTCCAGTACCTGGAGGGGGATTGTAAAAAGGAGGAAGATGGACAGGGGAATTATAAAAAGGAAGATAGACTTTTAATGTGAGCAGGCAGTGACAGAACAAGGGGTAGTGGTTTTAGACTGAATGAGGGCAGATTGAGGTTAGATACAGGACGAAATTCTTTACTGTGAGGGTGGCGAGGCACTGGCACAGGCCGCACAGAGAAACTGTGGATGTTCCATCCCAGGGAGTGTCCAAGGCCACGCTGGATTGGGCTCTGGGCAACCTGCTCTAGTGAAAAATGACCCTGCTCTCCGCATGGGGTTCGAATTGCATGATCCTTAGGGTACCGTCCAATCCAAGCCATTCTGGGACCGAGTGGGTTAATCCCGAGCCAGCAGCAGGAACGGACCCGTGGACACGGCACCGGGGCCCGGCCTGTTCCTGGGCGGGACCGCCGCCAGGCGCCATGGCCGCGGGAAAAGAACTACAGCTCCCGTCGTGCCCCGCGGGCAGCGCGGCGGGAACAAACTCCCCGCTGATTTGCTCTGCTCTCCGCTGCTCCGGCCAATCAGAGGCACAGCGCACGGGGGGCGCTCTCCGCGCGCGTGAGGCGGGCTGGCGGCGTCCCGGCAGCGATGGAGCGGGAGCGGGCGGAGGTGAGCGGGACGGGACGGGAGATCCTCCGGGAGCCGGGCTGGGCTGCTCCTGGGGGCGGCGGTGGGTCCGTCTGGTCCCGGCGGGATGGGCCCCTGCGTCCCCCTGAGCTTCCCGAGGAGGCTCCGGGTGATGGTGCCCCTGCTTGGCAGCCCTGGGGACTCGTGTGCGCAAGTTTCACTCACGGCTGTGGAAGAGCAGCGATGCAATGGTGCTCACGTCCTCCGAGCTGGTGTAAAATGCACCCACACAGCGACTAGAAGACGATGGAAATCTTTCTTTTTTAGAGGAGTTCAGGCCTTTCAGGCGTCAGGAATGCTGTCTGAGGGCCTGGATCCTCAGGAGAGCAACTCCTTGTTCAGGGAGTAACCGGGGAACCTTGGGTCTGTTTTGTGTGAAAGCCGGGGAGGATGCGGGGAGACAGCCGTGAGTGAAGTCTGAGCTTCCTGTGCACGTGTCGGTAATGGTAGCTGGGAGCCAGGGATCGGAGGGAATTTAGCACTGGGAGGTGATGGGCTTGCTGCTGATCTTTTGTTGTTGCCCACTTGGAGGAACAGTGGTATCCTCCAGCCTCAGGTAGCTGTTTGAATCTGCATTTCTGTTTCATCACTTCCTGTGCTGATGCTGAGTTCTTGCTGCTCCTTCATGAGTTGCTAACATATTTTCCCTGCTTCTTTTGTGCTTATTTGGAGCCTGGCTCAAGATTCTTCTAGTCTGAGACACACTGGTTTTCTGTGCTCTTTCTTCAGTCTCTGCCTTGCAGCTCTCCTGCTGTAACAGCAAGTACAAAGAGCCAGTGAAGATGTGTAGCTGTGGAGGCATCTGGGTGTAGGCAAAAAGCTATAGCAGACATTCTGCCATCCTGCTGGTGTAGTTTCTGAACCGAGGTCAGCTGGGACTGTGCAGTTTCCAGAGGACGTGAGCTGTCTCCAGGACTGAGCTGGCCCTGCTGACTTCCAGGCTGTGCTGGTCCTGTGAGCTGTGGTGGCAGGAACGTGCAGGCTGCACTCCCTTCTCAAAGTCTGTGCTGGCTTTACTGTGACAGTGTCTGCATGGCTGTGCCGTGCAGCTGTGTTGGGAGGAACACTGCCTGCAAGGACACAGTCTCAGCTGTGCTTTGCCCTGTGTTTTGATATGTTCCTCAAGCTGTTTTCTATCCAGCAACAGCCCTGTGGCACTTTCCTCTTGGGAAGCAGAACACAGCACGTGGAATACCAGTAAAGGGACCTGTCTGGGGAAGGCATTCAGAGTCCTGCCTTTGGGGTTGTTATGTGGACTCCTTGCCCACCCTGAGGCCACTCCCTCCCCCAGCAGCAAAGGCAGATTCATTGTGCAGCAGGGTGCAAAATGTCTGTTTTAAAACAAACTGTCTCTTTTTCTAGCTGGCTTCTTCCTTCTGCCACAAAACTTCATCTTTGGAGCGGGTGGAGGAGGAAGGTGATGACGATGAGGAGGATGATGAACTGGACATCTTTGGGGGTTACGACAGCCTCACGTGCTACAACAGCAGCATGGGCAGTGAGAGCAGCTCCTGCCTGGAGGAATCCAGCGATGATGAGGTGGCAGAGCGGGAGGCTGGAGAGCTCTCGACCTCTCCCATGCACCAGCCATCCACAGGCCGGCTCACAGAAGACAGTGGCTCCGAGCCAGGTACTGCCTGTGCTGCCTGAAGCATTCAGGGGCAGTGAAGGCTGTGTGGCTGCACCTTGGGGATGCTTTGGGAGCAGCTTTGGATTCACACTGCATTTTCTGGGCTGTGTGGGGGATCTGCTCTGTGTAATGATGCTTAGCTGGTCTCAGCTCTGTCATTCTAGTGAATTGCCTCTGCTAAATCCTCACGTTTTTGGCCTTCCTTCTCGCAGCTGTGTGCGAAATGTGTGGGATTGTGGGCACCAGGGAGGCTTTCTTCTCCAAGACCAAACGTTTCTGCAGTGTCTCCTGCTCCAGAAGCTACTCCTCAAATTCCAAAAAGGCCAGCATCCTGGCCAGACTGCAGGTGCGTCAAAACCTTTCCAGCTGCCTCTCAGGCTCCATCGTGCTCGCAGGCTCTTGTCATGCTGGGGGACCTCAACCACCCCTATACCTGCAAAAAGTAGCATGGCAAGCTCTAGGTAATCCAGGAGACTCCAGGAATGCATGGGGGGAGAATTTCTTAAGGCAGGGAATAGACAGCTGTAGCAGAGGGAATGCAGCAGGAGATTTGATGGTCACCAAGGTAAGTGAACTAATTGGGGATGTCAAGACTGGAGGCAGTGGCTCCAGTTGCAGTGTCATGCACTGGTGGAATTTGCAGTCTTGAGGAATATAGATGAGTTAAGGAGTAAAGTCATGCTCCTGACCTTTAGGAAGGCAGACATCCAGCTCTTCAGGAAGAGTTTATAATTCTGTAAGATTTCCTGGGGATGGAGCAGGATGTGCCTGTATGTAGGGATAGGTGGTTGCTCTCTAATTAAATATTAGACTGACATTCCCAGTGGCTTGTTCTTCCTGCCTGAAGTCCTCAGAGAAGGCATGACAGCTTAAAGGTGGTGCTCCCTAACAGCTGAGAAAGGACACACTGGTATTTTACCTGCTGTTTCTTGTTCCTGTGAGGTTAATAAATATTGTAGCAGCCTGAAAAATGTCCCAAGGAAGAGATGAATACTGAGTTGCAGGGGGTGGCTTAGTCTCCTGTGTCATTAATGTTTCTAATGTTCCTTCTTTTGTAGGGGAAACCACCAACAAAGAAAGCTAAAGTTCTGCACAAGGCATCCTGGTCAGCCAAGATCGGGGCCTTCCTCCATTCACAGGGCACAGGACAGCTGGCAGATGGGACACTGACAGGTCAGGATGGTGAGTGTAGGTGAGGTGTGAGGAGGTGCAGCTGCTGGAGTCACAGAAATGGGGACACTTTGAGGGCTGTAAGCTCTGCAGTCCTCCTCCTCCTCCCTGGTACACTGCCTTGTGTGATGTGTGTGGATCACTCTGACACAAGCTGGCAGAACACAGGGCCTGTCTTATCCTCTTCCTGCCCATCCACTATTGTAGCCTCATCCTCACTCCTTGTATGACTTGACCTGGAGTGTAAGCTCTGTGATCCCAGTCCCATGAGGTGCTGACTTCTGCTGGCAAAGGTGACTTTAAGGTGTCCTGCTTCCCCCAGCCATTTGCTGCCCCACTGCTCATGGGGAGTTATATTTGCCCCGAGTCACTCACTGATCACTTTGAGCAGTAACCAGTCACTGCAGCTGAAGGAGAAGCAGCTTACTCTGTTAGGGAAAAGGGGAGTGCTGGGGCATGGCAGCAGCAGGGAGTGGTCCCTGAGCAGAGCTATAGCCTGCAACCAGGAGTGACTGTGGGATTCATCTCTCAAATTAGTATCTCTGATTTTCCTGGCACCCTCTGTGAAAGCAAGTGCTGCTGATATGACCCTGCAGTGTTGCTGCTGAGAGGCAGAATGTGAAGTGGTTTAACCCTGAAAGAATGCACTCTCTCTGGAGTCCTTTAGGCCTGGGCTGGACTTGACCCCTTTTATTGCCCTTTCTGCTCCCCCAAAAGCAAGTGACAGCAAATACTGATTAATAATGTATTTTGCCTCTTGTGGGGGTTAGTGACCATGCACTCACATAGGTTCTAGTTTCCCACCAGAGAAAATGCAGTGGAATGCATAATCCCTGTGTGTTGTGTCCTTGTGCCTGGAGGCTGCAGGCTGTAGTCCAGAGGTAACTGATCTCTGTGCCTGTTCTGTGATCTCATCTGATTTTCTGCTCTCATGTCTGCTTGCAGCACTCGTCCTGGGCTTTGACTGGGGAAAGTACCTGCAGGAGCACGGCTACAAGGCAGCTCCTGTCAGCTGCTTCAAACATGTGAGTTCTCCTTTGCTGTGCATGGCAGGGCACACAGGGCACGTCATGTGCATGGGCCCCCCTGTGCTCCTCTGGCAGGTGGTGAGCAAGGGCCCAGCAGGGGTTATTGAGACCAGGTGATGCAAGGAAAGAAGTTGGGGTTTCTGGCAGCTGAGAATGGGAGTCTCACAAAGGGTTCAGGAGTTTTGGGGGAAGGAAGCAGATGGAGACTTGTTAGAAACACTGCTGGTAGTGATGCCTATGATTTTTAACTTTTTATGTTTTTCATATATTTGTAGTTTTGTAGATTGTTAAAGCATGGCTGTAGCTTCTAGTATTTTTTCCTATTTTTCTTCCTTACGTGTAGGAACAATAAGCTAACCATATAAACACATTCAGAAATATTGTAGTCTTATTCCAAGAATAGAACCGACTACAAGAACATTCTGTTTTCCAACCAGGATCTGAATGAGACATAACAGTCTTGTTATGGGGCAAACAAAACCTCTGGACTGCTTCCAGTGGGTCAGAACCCCAGGAATTATTACCTGATCAACTAACATTTTAACTGGATAGTATATGATAACTATACTAATTGACTAATCTTATAAAAAATGCAGAATTACTACACCACATGTGATTTTTGCCATACTGTGTACCTGAAAGCTTTCAAGTAAAGGTTTGCTTATATATTGACTCTAACATTGCTGGGAAGATCTAGTCTATTTTCCAGGCATAATTAGCGATGGCTCAGTGCTGACTGGGAACAGAATTAGTTCTGACTGGGGATGACAGTGGAAGCTAATTTTGCAGTTTGTATGGCTGAGTACAGCCCAAGGTGATGTGCAGAGAGGAATCCAATTTATGTGAGCCTGGCAGTAGCTGTGTCTCCAACATGTCCAATTTTTATAAGACTCGTTATCATCCTTTTGAGTTGTGGTCTGATAATACTGACAACATTTCCTTTTCTTGAGGATAGGTCAGGCAGACATGTTCGGTATCCTCATTGTTAGGTACCTCATTGTTAGGTATCTTTATGCCATAGAGGAATGGCAGCAGCTACTTTGGGATAATAGGACATCTGGCAGTGAAACAGTTAAGTATTGCTATATGGTATTCTGCCTTTTGGGATCCTCAGTGAACATGTGAGATGTTTGGGACAGCTCAACTGTATTTCAAGATGTTGGCAAATCTAGGAGGGGTAAGGCATGCAAGCCTGTGTCTAAGGTGAAGGTATAGCCCCCTAAGACATGTCTCTGAAAGCTACAAGGGCCTAAACCCTGCTCTGATTTCCACATCCCTCTCCCAACATGGCTGCCTCAATCTTTCAGGTGCCACTCTTCGATCAGTGGGATGATGTGGTGAAAGGTATGAAAGTGGAAGTGCTGAACAGTGATGCTGTGCTCCCCAGTCGAGTGTACTGGATTGCATCTGTCATCCAGATTGTAGGTAAGTCTCCTCAGTAGTCTGATAGCTGGGCACAGCTAAACTCTGAGGGAAGCTTTAGAGAGTTGAGGGTAGCTGATCAAGCAAAACAGCAGCTCTTTGGAGCTCTTCAACTGCTGAGAGATTTTGGAACAGGAAATACCATGGTGCGGGAGTGAGAGGAAACCAGCACATAGTTCCTCCTGGTTGCTGCTCAGTTTTCAGGAATACCAGAGCTGGAGAAGTTCTGGTAACCTATGCAGTGTGCTGAAGGCCATGCTGTGGGTACTAAGCCTGTGGTACCAAATTCTTGGCCTCTAATGCCTTTGTTTGTCTGCTCTGTCCTGGCAGGATACAGGGCCCTTCTGCGATATGAGGGCTTTGAGAATGATGCTAGTCATGACTTCTGGTGCAATTTGGGCACAGTGGATATTCACCCCATTGGCTGGTGTGCCGTCAACAGCAAAATCCTGGTACCACCACAAAGTGAGTGTGGGGCAAGAGGGGTCAGCATATACCTGGGCATGGAGAAGCTTTGGTTTGTGCCTAGCACAGAGGGACAGGTGTTCCCACTGCATGCAGGACCACAGCTCCATTTGTGCTTTCAGTTACAAGCAGCTGTTTGAGTTTGGGAAGCTGGAGACTGCTTGGATTGCTCCCTCTGCATCTCCCTATTATTGATCTGGGGATGCTGCATGCAGAGCTGATAGCAGACCTGTGGGGGCTAATGCAAGGTGGCTTTGCCTCCTTCTAATCCATATGGTGGCTAGACTTGAACTTTGGGGGAACCTTTTGATCCCATATCCTGGGCAACATCTCTGGTAAATGCAGTGACTCCAGTCCCTGCACAGCTAGCAGTTCAGAGAGGGATGCCAGTCTAGTGGAATTCTGGCAAGCTGAGATTTGTTTGGTATGGCTTATGTGTTTTGCTCTATTACCACTTCCTAATCTAGATCAGTGGAGGTGATTGTCTGCTTGGTCCAGTCCATTCTGTAATGGTGATCCCTTCAGCCAGATGTGGGGGCAAGCTGGCAAATCGCAGTACAGAATCTGAGTGTGAAGAAGGCCTTTTAGTGCTAATGGGCTGTCAGAGAGAGATGAAAGGTGTGGTGCTGTAATTATTTTGGTCATAAAGATGGACTTTTTCCATGCTCATATGCAGCTATCCATGCCAAGTACACTGACTGGAGAAGCTACCTCATGAAAAAACTGGTGGGAGCTAGGACCATCCCAGTGGATTTCCACATAAAGGTAACCATGGGAGGCTGTTGTTTTGCATGGGGGAAATGAAGCTGAAGTCAAGACATGCTCAACATGTCTCTTCTGGTTCTGATCTGTGCAACTTTTGTGTGCCTTGAAACCTGGGTGGGACAGGGGCAGTGAGTGCTTCCACATGTTCCTAAGACACCTGTCATGATGCTGTGGGTAATGGATAGCACAGCCTCCATGCTCTCAGCACAACAGTTTCTGCTTTGGGTCATAGGCAGGCTTTAAAAGATGTTGTCCCATGGTCTGCTGGGAAATACTGGGGATGAGGTTTGGCATTTTGCTGAAGGTAGAAGCCAGTGCAGTTCCAGCCTGGCCTTTCCCTGCCCTGTTTCAGTGCCATGGAGTAGCTCTGAGAGTCAAAAAACTTTGCCTTCAGTGTTGGTAGCAAAGCAGCCTGCAGGGAGTGAGAAGAGCACAGGATTAAAGGCTTCCTTTAAGTGCCATGGCCTTTGCATCTCTGTAGCTCTCATGATTGTTTTTGTCTAGCCTGCACTGAGATTAGACCTTGTTGGAGAGAAAGGGGGTCTCCTGTGACTAGGAGCTTTGGAAATGGCAGATAAGGAAGACAGTCACAGAGACAGCAAGCAGGAAGGCAAGTGATAGGTTTTTTTGGTGTGCAAGGTAAGTGGTGACACTGAGCTAGAAATCTGGATGTAGTTAGTGCTTCCCATGTTACTTCTCAGAAAGCTAAGAGGGTGTTTGTAACTGCTTGTTCCTGGGCCCCAGCTTGTAGCTGAAAGGGAAGTAGTGGAGGGAAACAGACATTGCTTTTGTCTTTCTCCCTTAGCATCTCCACTCCCACCTAATAAGCAGCAAGTGTAAGGGGAAGACCTTAGCTTAAAAGTTTTCTGGATTCAGCTGTAGGCTGGTTTGGGTATCTATTTTGTGTTTCCTAGTTGCTGCATGGCATCTTGGGATCACAGTTCCAAAATGTCAGGGGTTCTATAAACACCACTGGACATTTGTGGATGAGTAGGACAAGGCTGCATGAGCAAACTGAAGGTCTCAAAAAAAGTCAGAAAGCAGCCAGTGACTCCACTGTGCCTTTGGGTCAGTCTGCAGAGTAACTGGCTTTGGATGTGGAGTTGAGAGATGGGTCATCATGTAGTTCAACCTCTGATCAGAATAAAAAGGTGAAAAAAAAGAACCTGACCTCTTTTGAAGTCAACTGAAAATCCTGTTGCACTTTGGGAAGCTACACCTCTAACTAATTGCAGCCTCAAAACCCTTGTGATCTCTTTCATGACTGAAAAAGGCACACACAATTCCTTGCTCAGTTCCTCGTGAACAGAAGTTCTCACTGGGAACATTTACACCAGGTGGTGGCTGGGTGTTGCTGCTGGGCTGGAGTGGGGCAGCTCTTATGAGGGCACATGACAAAGGGGAGACCCTGGGTGTGTGTGCCCAACCATGCTGTCATGTCTGGGGCTGGATCTACCTGTCCCCCCAAAGAATCCACTCCTCTGCATCCCTTCCTAGTCAGCTTTGGGCAGTGCCAGGGTGCATGTCTGTGGGGAAAGCTGTTCTCTGAAGTGTTTGGAGAGCTCTGGTTGATCTCACCTCCTCTGCTGGTTGTTGCCAGATGGCAGAGAGCATGAAGTACCCGTTCCGGCAGGGCATGCGGGTCGAGGTGGTGGATAAGAACCATGTGTCCCAGACACGTATGGCAGTGGTGGACACAGTGATTGGGGGCAGACTGAGACTCCTCTATGAGGACGGTGACAGTGATGATGACTTCTGGTGCCACATGTGGAGTCCCCTCATCCATCCTGTGGGCTGGTCACGGAGAGTCGGCCATGACATAAAGAAGACAGGTAAGGATCAGCCATCAACCACTGCAGCCATCTTCTGATTTGCTGGGAGCTGCCTGCACCCTGCTGTTGCCACCAGTCTTGCCATGCTGGGAGTGAGGCAGTTGCCTCAAGACCTAACTGCTGAAGTCTGCTTCGTTTTGTGTCTGCTGTTTTTTTATCTGGATAGGTAAGAGCCCTGCAATCACAGGTCACAATGGGAGACTGGAGGGTTTCTTACCAGAAGCAGGCAGTCTGTCCCCTTAGTGTGAGAATGCAGACTTTGCAACGTGACAGATGTTTGTAGTATTTTTTGAGGAAATTCATGCTGACTTCTGTAACACTGGATGCCATCAGGTTGTGTGTTTTTTGACTTTACCAAGCGGAATTGATGATTGGCTTACTCTGGCAAAGTAAAAGACAAAGAAAAAAGCAAGACTTGAGCTCTGCTGATCCTTTTGTTTGTGTCTCTATTCCTTGCTGCCTGTTCCTGGTGATTATAGCTGCATGTGTTATCAGTAGTTCTCAGGAAGCTGAGCCATCTGCTTTTGAGCAAGCCCTTCATCACAGCCCATTTTATAAGAAGTGTAGAGGGACTGACCTGTTCTTTTTATTAAATGATCTCATATTGAGGGGGTTTATAACAGCTAAGCTGTCACAGGAAAATTAATAACCAGTCTGTTTTCTTACTGCAGTTGCTGCAGGTTTTTCACCTCTCTGTGTTTCTTCCATTCCTCACAGAAGAAAAACGTAATGACATGGCAAACCATCCTACCTTCAGGAAGATTTACTGTGATGCTGTGCCCTATCTGTTTAAGAAGGTAGGACAAGTCTGCCTTTCTGCGGGGGTCACAAAGGAGGAAGCAGTGATAGCACTTCCTTGCTTGGGCACACATGCTGCTGTGTGGGTTGTTGAGGGTGGTCTTTCTTATACCTAAGGGCAGTAAGGTCTTTGGGGTGTCAAGGCTCTTGTAAAGAAGGAGCAGGTCAAACTAGAAAGCTGAAAGAATAAAATAAAAGGACAGTGGTAGATTGAGGCACTCAATCAAAGAGCAAGCCAAGGGAGCTTTGAGTTGGAGAGGGAAGAGGATTGCATGGGAGAGACCAGTTCCAACAAGGAACTGGATCATGCTGGTAATGACTCAGATAGAAGGAAGCTTGCTTTGTTATGGAGCAGCAGTTGGGCTTGGCTCTCTGACTGACCAGAGCCATGGCAAGAGGTTGCTGACACAAACATAGTGTTGGTTTGGCTGCCTCTTTGTATTTCTTGTAATATTTTTGCTTTCCCCTCCCAAGCTGAGCCAAGTGAAGAAGTTCTAATCCTATTTGCACTTGCTGTGCTTGGTGTCAGGATGGGACTGCCCCATAGCCATGGCAGCACATGGTATATCAGAGTCTCCCTTAGGTACGAGCTGTCTATTCTGAAGGTGGATGGTTTGAGCGAGGCATGAAACTGGAAGCCATTGACCCCCTGAATCTGGGCAACATCTGTGTGGCCACTGTTTGCAAGGTAAGTTCAGTGAGCCTAAGGGGGTCTGCTATGTTTGCTTGGGATAATGCAGCTTCTCCTCAGGTCTTTTCAAATTAGTAAGATCAGGTAGGATCTTACATGGGGGTGCAGAGAAGGCTGTGAGGAGAGGTAGACAGCTGATGTGTGGAGGGAACTGGGGGGTTACCTCAGAGGTCTGACCAGCTGTTATCCATGGGTACTTAAACAGACAGCATGAAGATGAGTGTGTTTGGTCTGTAAGCTAGTGCCCAGTGTGTGTGACTGGCAACCACCCTTGGGCATGCAGTAGGGAAGATTTGTTCTCCAGTTCTGTGAGTGCATAGAGAGGTCCCTGTGGAAAGAAGGGAAGAGTTGTGAGGTGACCTCCATGTGGAGAATGGCATGAGGAGGGATGTGTCACCTTCAGTCTGTCTTGATGAGGTGGTTGTAAGCTCTACTCTTGTGCTAGTGTTGAGAAGTAAATTCCTTGCCCAGGTTTCCTCAGCAAAGTGTGTTGAATGTTGAAAGTACAGCATTCATGTGGCCTTTTCCTGCCTCCTCAAGAAGCTGTTTGCCCTCACAGAACCCAAGCTGAGGACTTTGACACTTGGAGTTTGGCAGTAGGATGGTATGAGAGCAGTTTGTGTCTGTAAAATGTTCCCTTCTGCCACAGTTTGGAAATGGAAGAGTTTGGGACAGGCATGCCTATCACCTTTGGTAGGCACTAATTACCAGTGAGTGACAGGATGGGACAAGTCTTGTTGCTGTAAGAAGCAGCAAATCCAAGGATGGTGCTCCTTCCCTTTACTCAGTAACAGATTCATGATGTGGCTGGTGGAGAGGGCTTTTGGGCTGCTAATGAAGTGTTTCTGGGGGAGAACAGAGCTCCTGAGTGTCATATTACTGGAGCCTGGGCTAGCTCTTAGAACTCCGGTGCCATGACAGGAGTGGGGAACTGCCCCAGTATGGGGATTTACCAGAGGCAGAACCTTTAGAGCCACTTGCTCTACAGTGCCAGACACAAGTCATGACAGGGACCAGGCTGACGAGAAAGGAGGTGGCTCTCTGTCTTGAGGCTCCACATGGAAGGGTTTATTGCAAGAAGAGGGATCAGAAATAAAGAGCCCTGCACAAGGGATTTTGTACAGATACAAACCAGGGGGTGGATACAAACAGCTAATCAATAGAGAATCCTCGGGGGAGGAGTAAAGGGATTATATCAAGTGTCTGGGGCCAGTTGGGGTAGGAGGGTGGAGAGGATGGGTCACATGGGCCAATGAGCAGGGGAATTCCAAAAGGTTGTTGCAGTCAGGGATTGGCCTGAGGTTAAAGTGACAGAGAAGGTTCAGGAACAAAAGTGGCTGGGTTGCCTTGACAGGCAGGGAAAGAGCTGGAACAAGGGGTGGGGAATGGCATGAGGGACAGCTTTGAGGGAGGGTAAAACCCCGGGGTAAACTGACTCAGGGGGAACATGGGGGTACAACAGAACAAACCACTTAACAAGGAATCAATAAAATAAATTCAAACCGCAACACCTGACCATTTAAGGCTTTTCACACAGTTCTTTCACAAGGCTCTTGGTGTTGGTCCCAGTCCTGCAGAACTTGCTGCTTTGGGGATTAGCTTGTGTTGACTAACATATTAGGAGAAGCTTGGGGCATATAACATTGGATTTTATTATCTAGTGGCAATTGTGATTGATATATGGGGACTGTTGAGAGAATCTTTTGTGAGGAGGAGAGGTTTTAGAGCAAGTAGAGCTCTACACTTACGCCTTTACTCCCATCTCAGGTTCTCTTGGATGGGTATCTCATGATCAGCATTGATGGAGCAACGTCTGATGATGGCTCTGACTGGTTCTGCTATCACGCCTCCTCACATGCCATCTTCCCTGCCAACTTCTGTAAGAGGAACAACATCGAACTGACCCCTCCAAAAGGTGAGATTTGGACTCTGCCCTGTGGTTACAAACCTGCATGCAGTTTGGTGGGAGGTGTGTTTCTGAGAGGGGTCAGGTTCAGATAAATCAAAACAAGGTCCCGGTCTGCTTGTTTTTCATGTAGACAGCTAGTTCAGAGAGCCAGGCTATTTAAGCTTTGCCCATATACCAGTTCTTGGTTAGCTCCTGGCAGATCAGTGGCAGAGGTGTATGATCCCCAAACTGAACAGAATAAAAGGGCAAGGAGGGTGGGAAGGAATAAGTAGAGCCCTTGCTGGAGGAATTGGTACTTAAGTGTCCACAGTCCTCTCTATTCTTTTTTCTATGAATAGATCTGACATGAGTATTTCTTCAGACTCCTAAGAGACAATCATCCTAGGAGTGTTTTTGCTGCCTCATCTAGCCATACTCAAAAAGGCCTACTCTGAATTTCTGTGCAGTACTGTTCCATCTTTATTTGATGTTCCTGCTGCTGGGAGAAAGAAAGATTGGTCTAAGTGGTGTGTTTTGAACATACTACTTCCTACTTGCTGCTGGTCCTCCTCTTTCTCTGTGGTCTGGGTCTGTGGCTGGCACAGATGTTCAGAGCTACAACTTGCTTTTTTCTGTATTTGCCTGCAGAGAGGGGTGCTGGGCTCCCATGGAATCCATGCACGAGGTTCATGTCCAAGATCAGGCTGTACATGCAGGTTCATTGACCTGCTCTGCAGCCAGTTGCTATGCCTACTCTGCATTTTGTCCCAGCTGGTCTAGCCAGTGACTGCCTTTTTACCTCTTAGTGTTAATTCCTTCTGCAGGGCATGAAGCAAAGACATTCAGCTGGGAACGTTACCTGGAAGAGACCAAATCAAGACCTGCTCCATCACGGCTCTTCAACACAGTGAGTGCTGCCAGGAAGAAACGATGTGTAGGAATTCTTGGAGTAAACAAGGAGGAGTGCAATAGCTCTGGCTGTCACAAGATCACAGTGATGGAAGTGACTTCTTGTCCAGCACCCCTGCTACCCCAGGGCTACCTGTAGCCCATTGCTCAGGACCATGTCCAGATGAATGGAGACTCCACAAACATGTGGGCAGCCTGTGGCACCTGTTGGCTCTCATGGGAGAACTTGTCTCCTGATGTTCACAGGGAAACTCCTGTCTTTCAGTTGGTGCCTGTTAACTCTGATCCAGGCACTGGGAGCCACTGAGAGGAATCTGGCTCCATCTTTGCACCCTCGTTTCAGGCATTTATACACATAAATAAGATACCCCTGAGCCTTTTCTCCTCCAGGATGAACAGTCACAACTCTGTCAGCCCTTCCTCATACAAAAGATGCTCCAGTTCCCTCATCATCTTCCTGGCCCTTTGCTGCACTCTCCCTACTGTCTCCTTTGTACCAGGGAACAATTCAGGTGTGGCCTTGTCAGTGCCAAGCAGAGGGGAAGGATCATTTCCACTGATCTGCTGAGAACAGCTTACCATTAGCCTTCTTTGTCCCAAGGGTACATTCTTGGCCCATTCAACTTCATGTCCACTGGGATTCCCAGTCCCTTTTCTGCCACACTGCTTTCCAGTCAGTCTGCCCCTAGCTTGTGCTGGTGCCTGGAGTTCTTCCTTTGCAAATATGGGATTCCAGCTTGCCAAGGTGCCTCTGGAGGGCAGCACAACCATCTAGTATATAGTCCCTCCTCCCAGTTTTCTACTACAGGCAAGCTTGCTTGGTTTGACATGATTCCCTGACATGTTCTTATAGTTCAGTCATCTTCTCTATGAGGTTCTTATGGCAGACAGTGTCAAAAGTCTTCCTGAAGTCAGGATAGACAATATGCATTACACGCAATATATGCAGTCTGTAGTGGGCTGCAGTTTGCTGGCAGCACTTTAAGTAGAGCTCAAAGGCCCAGGAGTATGTACTCTCCTAGCTGGTACATCAGTGTCCTGCCTTTTGTGGGTCTCTGTGAGTGTCACCTGTGATTCTCTAGTGTTTCTGTGAGCTCCAGGCTCCTGGTGGGCTCTGCATTGCTCATTGTCTGTGGATGTGTGGCTGGCATGTTGGGTGGAGGGTGGGAGCTGTTTTACATCAACAAAACTGCAGCACCTGGGCCTGTGCTGGTCTTTCTGATTTCCCAGGGGTATATCAGGTAATTGTGTAACTGTGTTCCTGAACTTCTGCTCCCCTCACATCAGGATCTTGCTTCTAAAGGCTGGGCTGAAATTGTCTGAGGGCCCAGCTGGTCTTGGATCTGGTTTTGGATCTTTGGGCTTGTTGTCTGCTTGCTTTAGGCTAGAGGCCAGCCTGTGTGAGAGTGGTGTTGGCCAGATACAGGTTTGGACTGAATGCAATGGCCTTGGCTTTTCATTTTTAATTTTTATGCACCCAGGACTGTCCCAACCATGGCTTCAGGGCAGGCATGAAGGTGGAGGCGGTGGACCTGATGGAGCCCCGGCTCATCTGTGTGGCCACGGTGAAGCGCGTAGTCCAGCGTCTCCTTAGCATCCATTTTGATGGCTGGGACAACGAGTATGACCAGTGGGTGGACTGCGAGTCTCCAGACATTTATCCTGTGGGATGGTGTGAACTGACAGGCTACCAGCTTCAACCACCAGTGGTTCCAGGTGAGTGAAGATTTTACTGTGGTTTCTAATGTTAGACATAAAGATTTCTTTTCTCCTGCTCTGTGAGTGGCTCCTTTGATTTTTGGGCCTTGTAGGGAGAAGCAAATGGCCTCCTTGATTTGCACTGGCTACCATAAATCTTCCTCTGTTGCCATATTCTAGCAGCTGGCAGAGGGAGGAGCCTTGATGGGGAGAAAACAGCCTGAGTTTTGAGATTGGCTCTGTTCACCCACACCAGCAGAGAATTAATTGCTCCTGAGGAAGTTGGGTAGAGTTCCAGGTGGTCCTATCCCTGCACAGCTCCCTTTTATTAAGCATAGCTATAACTTTAGCCAGATAGCAGCAGGAGCTCGCCCCATGCTCCCTTTTCTCATCAACTCTTTGTCTGTAAAAGGTAAGAGCATCCTCTCAAGAGTTCGTTCCTTCCCTTGTCACAGGGAGGCCACTGCCTCACCTTTGCAGATGTTTTCCTTCTTATTTCAAACTACGAATCTTGTTTCTTTCTGCCCCTACCAAGTCTATACTGGGCCTCTCTCCCCTGTGCTGCCCCAGCCTGCCGCTCTGGGCCCTCACCTGGAAGCACAGACAGCAACTGCACCAGAGCCTTGCTTTCCCCTCAGCTGGTTGTCTTGGGAAGAGGGCTTTGGCTTGGGGGGACGGGTATATCTGTTTCTCGCTTATGTCACTTCATCCCAGTTACCTACTGGTTATGGGACTTGGCTTTCGTTTCCCTCTCGTCTCCATGACAGAGCCCACAACTGCAGCGAAGGCCAAGGAGGTGCCCAAGAAGAGGAAGAAACCCTATGGAAAGAAGAGTGAGTGATGTTTGATTAGTGCCCTCCCGCTCGCTCGCAGGCTGGGCCCAGTTAGAGGAACACAGTCCATGTCCCATCAGAGCAGGAGAGAGAGGCCTTGTCTTGCTGTGGGTTTACCAACACAGCTTCACCCTTCTTACCTGCCCTGTTTCCTAAAGAGCAGAGAGCTGTGTGCAGGAAGGATCTGTTTTGCAGTCTGTTTTCTGTTGGCTGAGGTATATATGGCACTTGCTTCCAGGTGTGAGGTTGTGCTGCTTTCACTGCTGTGTCCGTGGTTGGAGGGAGATGTTTGCTGCAGCTGGAGGGTAGCTGGAGAGCAACCCTGCTTTGTGCTGAGGGAAAGAAAGCCTTAAGATGGCTGAAGAGGCCAGTAGAAATACTTTTATTGTTTCATCTTGTCATTGTTGTTGTCATTGTTGCAGTAGCTGTGGCAAATCATGTAGTCAGACAAGAAATTCCTTCTTGAGGGGTGGAGGGGAAAGAACATCCAAAGAATATAAAGACTTTCAACCTAAATGAAAAGGTCAGCTAAAAACCAGAACATTACGGTTACAATGTCTGCATCTTGCAGCAAATATGCTCATTGCCTAGGACTAGACTCAGACAGGTAAGCAAAGCTGACTCCACACTGATTCCAAGAGGACCTGCTCCTTGGAAGTTAAACACATGCTGAAGTGCCTTGCCTTTAATGAAGGAGAAGATGAAGGAGCATATTTTGAGGTGATGACTATAGAATTTTTCTCCAGTAGGCCTTTTCTGTTGCATAACCAGTTGGCAGCTAATGACCATGTAGCTTTCTGTTCAGTTGTGCTGGTCCCTGGCCTGTGGTTTCTCAGAGGAGCAGGGTTGCTGATTTTCCAGGGGAAAAGAAATACACTTTTGCTCATATTCCGTTATCTCTTTGTTAAGGAAAAAAGTTACCTGCCAAAGCCCGCAGTGTCAAGCAGACTGTCAAGAAGCCTTCTGCCACAAATTCAAAACGAGAAGCAAAAGCTGCCAGCCAGGCTTTGCCAGAGCCAGCACCTGATGAAAGTAAGGGAATTACTTATTCTACCTGCAGCCACATCCACCTCTCCCCATACACCCTCTTGGCCAATAAGTCATGGACACCCTCAGGCAGGAAAAGGCAGCCACATGTCCTTCCGTACTCCTCCAGAGAGTAGAATGAATCATTTGCTTGCTTTCCCTGGAAAGATTTGCCTCCTGAGAAAGTTTGGTGGGACAAGTACTGCTCAAAATCTCAATGCTGCTAATGCCTGGTTGTGTGAGGTCAGGGAGGAAAGATGAAGTGGATATGTCAGGGGTGGCTGTCACATCCCAATCCCAATAAGGACTGTTGCAGCATGTGAACAGCCTCTCATGCTGTGGTGACCAGAAGAGCAGCTGGGTCACCTGTCAACCCTAGTGGGTAGGGGGGAAGCAGGGTGGGTGAGGTGCCTTGTGCACATGGGGATTGGAGAGTCATGAAGGTCCCTCCTGTTCATTTAAGTTCCCCTGTGTAAACTCAGGCAGATTGAAAATGGATGGCATCAGCTTTGGATGTCATGACCTCTTAGGAGTTGTTGGTTGCCCAGAGCCCCATCCAGGCCTGGCCTTGAACACTTCCAGGGATGAAGAATGCACAACCTTTCTGGGCAACCTGTTCCAGTGCCTCACCACCCTCACAGTAAAGAATTTTTTCCTAATGCATAATCTGAAACTACTGTCTTTCAGTTTGAACCTATTCCTCCTTGTGTTGTCACTACATGCTCTTGTAAATTGTCTTGTCTCATCTCACCTGTATGTTCCCTTCAGGTATCAGGGGACTGCAGTTAGGTTACCTTGAAGCCTTCTCTTTTCCAGAGTGAACAATCCCAATTCTATCAGCATTTCCTCATAGGAGAGGTGCTCCATCCTTTTAATCATTTTGGTGGCCTCCTCTGGACTTGCTCCAACAGGTCTGTGTCCTTTTTTGTGCAGAGGACCCCAGAGCTGGATGCAGCACTGCAGGTGAGGTCTCACTAGAGCTGAGGGGGAGAATCCCCTGCCTCACTCTGCTGGCCATGCTGCTTTTGATGCTTTCACTCATCTCTTGATGCTTTATTGGCTTTCTGTGCTGTGAGTGCACATTGCTGGGTCATGTCCAGCCTCTCATCCACCTGTATCCCTAAGTCCTTGGCAGGGCTGCTCTTGATCCCTTCATCCCCAGCTTGTGTTGATTCCGGGTTTGCCTCAGCCCAGGTGCAGCACCTTGCACTGGGCCTTGTTAAGCCTCATGAGATTCCCATGTGCCCACTTTTGAGTCTGTTCAGATCCCTATGGTGGCATCCCATCCTTCAGGTGAGTGAAGAGCACCAATCAGCTTGGTGTTACCTGCAAGCTTGCTGAGGGTGCACCTGATCCTTTTGACTGTGTCAGTAATGAAGACATTAAAAAATACATGTCCAATACAGACCCCTGAGGGACACCACTGGTCACTGATGCCCACTGGGAGTCTCAGCTGTTGACCACTACCCTCTGCAGGCAACCATCATAACAATTCCTAATCCACCAAACAGTCCACCCATTGACCCATCACTCCACTTTGGAGGGAGTAGTTTTGGGGGACTTTGTCAAAAGCTTTACAGAAGTCCACCTGGCTCAAGAAGCTGTCTTCCATGCATTGCAGGAGTCTCCTGGATTGCCTGCAGTTTGCCTTGGTACTTTCCCAGTAGATGTCAAGGTGGCTGAAGTCCCCCAGCAGGACTGGAGGCTGTGAGCACGATGCCTCCTGTAACTGGGGCAAGGCTTTGTCACTGGGCTCCCCTTGGTCAGGCAGCTGTAGCAGAGCCTGGCTGCAAGGTTCCTTTTGTTGTCTCAGGGTCTGATTTTTACTCACAGTCTTTCAACCTGCTCATGGCTGTTCTTCAGAGACAGCTCTATCACACTCTGCACCTCTTGGTACAGAGGGCAACCCCTCCACCTCTCCCTCCTTTCTGTGTCTTCTGAGCAGCTCACAGCCATTGGCAGTCACACTCCAGTCACACAGTTTGTCCCACCAAGTTTCAGTAATGGCAACAAGGTCATAACTTTCCAGCAGCGTGGTGGCATCCAGCCCCTCCTTTGGTTTGTTGCCCATTCTGTGTGCTTTGGTGTAAAGGCACCTTCCCAGAGGAGCACCCCTTAATTCCTTTGAGATTATTTCCCTGCTGGTATCCCTGCTGGCTTCTGTTACCTCAGAAGTCCCTGGCTCACCTCTGTAAGGCTCTAAGTGTGCTCCCCTGTGTCTGCTATCTCTTCAAGTCACCTGCAGAGGGACTCACTACCACCCTATCCCTCTAACCTTTTCATACCATCCTACAGCTTGCCAGGGAAGAACATGAAATTGTCCCACTCACATCTGGTTTAAGCAAGAAATTGTATTACCCAGGAAGGAATTTAGAAGGATTCACCCACAACCATAAACACCTTCAGTGGTACCTCTTTGATGCTTACTTGTGTCCCTTACTTGAGGGACAGTCAGGGAACATCTTTCACTACACTGATTGGTGTGATCTACTCCCCAGGAGGAAGCCATGGGACTTTGGAACTCACCTACACTGAGTTATTTAGTTTAAGGCCCATCTCACCAAACTAGGCAGGCTGCTGCCAAAGATTCTCTTACCATTTATAGACAGGTGGATCCCATCCATCTAACATGTTACAATCATTAAGGTACACCCACCCTAATATGTTACAATCATTAAAGCTCACACCATTGTCACAAAAGCCAAAACCTTCTCCATGGCACTGGCCTCAAAACCAGATATTCATAGGCACTATGTGTCTGCTTCTGTAATTTCTTGCTTTTGAACCCAGAATTGCAGAGGACTTGGAGCATGGTTTGAGTTTTTAATTTTTTTAACAGTTGTACTGTAAATTTGGTCTATGATTGGTAACTTAAAGCCCTGTGACCAACATCAAGAAGAGGCCCAAGGCTTGCATATTGCTTTCCAGGCCACCAAAATCCGAAATTTTTTGTTAGTCAAAGCATATCTTTGTCTGTACATTTATCTTTCAGAGCCTTTTCAATTTAAGCAAACTTCTGGGGTCCCAACCTATGCAGTCACGGGGAATAGGTTGAGCACATTGTTTGTCATGGGATAGTACTTAAGGATCACTGATTGAATTTTGCAGGAAATAAAAAGGCTTCCATGTGCATATGTTTTAATTCTGAGGAACTTCTGGGAATTAAGGCAACATTTTCACTAATAATTTTTAAGCTTTCTAGCATGAGATTTGTGCCAGTGCAGGACTTCACTGGATGGTGCTGGTTGAAGTCCCACTCTGGGTTCTTCTATGATTTTGGCAGCTGTGAAAGCACTTTCAAAAACAAAACCAAACTTCTGGATAGCAGCTTTTCCACATGACTGGATGAAGCCTTGGAAAGAAGAAGCAAGTATTTGGCTTCATTATTTGCATCACCAAAGCATGCTGCAGACTCTTTGGGATGTGCCTTTGTGTCCCGCAGAAGCAAACCCTGCATCTTTGGTAAGTCAGCATTGTTTTGGTGGCACCAGGCTCTCCTGTGCACCTTGGACAATATTCATGTCTCCATGGTGGGGGCAAGTCTAGAAAAACTGCTCTAGCCAGACTATAGGCATGGCCCTGTTGTGTCCAGCACATGTCCTACACACCTGAAGAAACTCTAAGCTCTGCTCTTACTGAAGCCTCTGGCTGGAGATTTTCCCAATCTCTTTTTCTTGCTGGGCTTGCTTGCAGCCTTAGTCTTGTTAGGATAGGTTTCCCCAGCCTTGCCTTGTCCCCATCCAGGACAAGTTTGGAAGGTGGTGGAAAGCTTCACCTTCAGCCCCTGGGCTTCTGCAGGGGAACCACAGGTGGCCCCTACGCAGAGGTTGAGTTTGTTGATCCACCTGGAAATGTGGCAGAAGATCAGGGAAAGAAATGAGGAAGGGCAAAAGAAAGGGCAAAAGTCTATGCCCATAAAGGCATAGATCTATGGATGATCACTTCAAATTAAGGCCAGGTAACCAGGGTAACCTCTGAGTGTCTCAATATTTGCCCTCCCCAGCCTGGGGCTGCTTTCCCTACACCCAGAAAGCCCAAGCAACTCCATCCTTTCACACAGATGAGTGCTACATCTCACCACTATAGGAAACTACCAAAAATGGCCAGTGTGCTGTGAGCTTGTGCCTTCATCAGAGGAGTCCAGCTGCCCCCCAGGCAGATCCCTGAGGCTGCTCCCCCCTTGTGGCACTCACCTGTGCAGTGGAAGGAGCTGGCAGTCACAGTGGAAAGGCACATCCTGCAGGTTGAGGATCTCCAGCCCCGTGAAGTTGCTCATGTTGGGTATGTTACTCATTTTGTTGCTCTCCAGGTATAGGCTTCTGATCTTGGGACCGAGGCCAGTGAAGGCATGGGGGGAAATCTGCAGTGGAAGAAGGGCAAGTCAGGTGATCAAGGCAGGGGAACAGATTGCAGATCTCTGCCCCTGCACTTCTGATCATCTTGGGGAGCCTGACAACCTGTCCTGAAGCTGGTGGCCCCACAAAAGAGCTGCTTTAAATAGGGAGGACTGTTAATTAATTCAAGCAGTTTCAATCACATTTTGGAACTCATTAGGCTCTTGTTCAGTCTTCTTAGAAAGAAGGTCACATGCAGGAGGTCTCAGAGTGATCCCTGGGTGCTGTTAAGATACACAGTTTTTATGAGGCTGCTGTTAACACCACTTCCTTGAGACAATGGAAATATTCAGGATAATAGCGGTGGAGAGGCCTGCAGGACAGCCTGTTATAAGAGAAGGAGAAATCTGGCCAGAGCTGGGGGAAGGAGGTGATTTAGGGAATGGTCTGGACCCCAGTGAAATTGGGTGTTGAAGGACTGGAAGGCATAAGTAAGCTTCTTCCAAGGGAGCCAGGAGCAAGGTGGAAGCAAGGGAATGTTACAGCTGGGCCTGAAAAAATCTGGCTTCCCAGCCAGGCTATGGAACATATGAAGGCTTGGGAATTTGAGGACGTCTGTTTGGGTGACCCTATAGGGGCCAGCAGCCCTGGGCAGTGTAACCTGTTACATGCCCTGTGGTGCCACTGCCCCTTGCGAGTCCCATAACACACTCACCCACTCCAGGCCCATGTTGTCCAGGTAGAGGTGCTGCAGGCTGGAGGCCACTGGCAGGAAGACACCGTCCCCCATGTGCTTGATGGGGTTTCGTGACAGCTTCAGCTCACTCAGGGCAGGCAGGCCCTGCAGGGCTGCTGTGGGCACCTCTGACAAGTGGTTTCCCTCCAACTGCAGCTTTTCCAGCATCTTTGTGGGAGCCAGGGCAGTTGGGGCAATGTGCCTGATGGCATTCCCAGCTAGGTAGAGCCAGCGGAGCCCCCTGGCACCAGCCAGGTCACCCTCCACCAGTTCCTCGATGGCATTGTGCTGCAGATGAAGGGAGATGAGGTTGGGCAAGAGCTGGAAGGTGCCTGCAGGCACACGGGTGAAGGCATTGTGGTCCAGGTCGAGGTAGGCCAGCTGCGGGGCCCCCTCAAAGGCAGCAGCCGCCAGGGTGGAGAGGTGGTTGTCGGTGAGGTACAGGTAGACCAGGCTCTCCAGCCCCCGGAGTGCCCCGGGGTGCAGCACCCTGATGCTGCACTTCTGCAGGTGGAGTGACACCAGCTCCTTGAGGCCAGGGAAGGCATCTGGTGGCACTGTCCTGAAGGGGTTTCTGCGCAGGTCCAGAAGGCGGGTGTCCTCAGGGAAGTCCCGAGGGATCTCCCGCAGGTCCCTATTCTCACAGGACCCATGATGGAAATCAGGGGAGCAGATACATCTCCGGGGACACTGCCTGCTGCCAGCTGAACTTGGCTGCTCTGGTGGTGTGGTGGGGCTGGGGGGTGGCCGGAGGTGACTGCATCTCATCTCAGGGGGCTTCAGGGAGTTGAGGGATCGGCCACGGAGGGCAGGGGGTGCAGCACAGGCACCCTCAGCCTGCACTCGTGCCTTTGCCAGCCACTTGTGGAAGGGGCGCAGGAGGCAGGAGCAGAGAAGAGGGTTCCCTTCCAGGCTGACCCTTACCAGCCTCCCTGCCCCAGCCAGGGGTGGCAGCCCCTCCAGCTGGTTTTCCCGGAGGTCCAGAACACGGAGCTGGGGACTGCGGGCAAAGGCGTCGGGTGCCACATCCTGGAGGGAGGCATGGTCCAGGAAGAGGTGCTTCAGCGAGGCCATGGCCAGGGCTTCCTCGGCCACGTAGGTGATAGGGTTGTGGCCCAGGTCTAGCCGGGTAGCCCCATCCAACCTGGCCAGGGCCTCGCCAGGCAGTGCCTGCAGCTCATTGTGGTCCAGGCTCAGCCTGCGCAGGGCAGGCAGAGCAGCAAAGGCCTCACTGCCCAGCACATGGAGGGCATTGTGAGACAGCCGGAGCCATCTAAGAGCCTGCAGACCCTGGAAGACCATGTCTGGGAGGTAGACCAAAGCATTTGCCCTCAGGTCGAGGACAGTGAGGGACCCCAGATGGCCGAAAGCACCCGGCTGTATCTCCTCAATGCGATTCCCCTCCAGAATGAGCTGCTGGAGGGAGAAGAGCCCATCCAGGGACTCCTGGTAAAGGATGGCTATGCCGTTGGAGGCCAGGTTGAGGTAGACAAGCCTCCCCAGACCCCGGAAAGCCCCTTCCTCCAGCCTCTCCACCTTGCAACGCTGCAGGTCTAAGTGTGTCAGGTAGGGGGTAGCAAGGAAGGCTCTCGCTGGGATGACCATGAAACTGTTGCCCCGAAGGTCTAGTTTTCTGGTGAGCTGTCAGTCACACAAATAAAACACCAAATTACCCTAAGACTGCCATACCTATCTTCTGTCCCCATCCCTTGACCTTTCGTGCCCTTTCCCACCTCTGGGATGGTGTCAGGGATGGCAGTCAGGCTCCCATTGAGACACAGGACATGGGCACGGAGGTTATCGCAGACACAGCGTGCAGGGCAGCGGGCAGCAGCCGTTGTCCCCAAGGCTGCTGTGAGCAGGAGGAGCCCCCAGGATGGCCCCATATTGCAGGGCACCTGTGGCTGGGGAGAGACAGATGTAAGGCCAGGAGAGAGGCGAGGTTCCCATGCATCCCCAAACAGCATGGCCTGCTTGGAACCCCACGTGCCAAGAGGGCTGCTGCTGTCACCTAGTGGGTCAGGTCTCACTTTCTCTTGCTCTCACACTATGATTTCACAAGTTATAAATGAGGAAGAGTGGAAAAAAGAGAGGAGGAATTCTTGGGACTGAAAAGTGAAGGTCACAGCTAGCAGGTCACTCACAAGGAGCTGGCTTGAAACAGACACCCACCCCACCTCTGCATTTTCTTCAAATATCACTAACTTAAGATTGCCTTGGTCTGTGCAAGCTATCAGTATCTCTCCTACAATTCTTTTTGTCAGGCAAGCAGATGTAGCCATCCAGAGAATGTGATCACACAGGCTTCTGAGCTGCTACCCTTCTTTAAGTGGCAGATGTCCCATGTCTCCACCATCCTGGTAATCTGCTTCCCACTCTGCAAGCTCCCTGCTTCCCTCCTAAGCTGTTCATAGCAGTGTCTGGAATAGAACTCCACTGTTTAGCTGCAGGAAGAAGAGGTTGGTTTTGGCTGGGCAGGAGTGAGCCCCTGGGGTGAAGGTATCAGAGAGAGGCCAAGGCAGGGAGAAACACAGGGGAGGCAGCAGGCTGCAGGTATGACCAATACATCCTGCTAGGCTCCGAGACAGCCTCAGTAGGGTCTGCAAGGCTTAGATTTGTGGAGCCACTGTAGTGCACAGCCCCATGCCCACTGTAGCTTGTTGTCCCCTGTGGTCCCATATACCAACACTGCTCTCCTGCTGTCACCCGATCTAGTCCTGCTGCAGCCCACACACACACACAGGGGCAGCCCTTTCCTGCACACCCATTGCCCAGTGCCACCAATGTCATGTCACTAAACTCAGTCCCCATGCTGTGCCTGGAGCACTGCCACATGCCAGCCATCATGGCATCACTCCCTCCCTCACACCTGGAGGTTCACACACCCAGAGTTTGGAGTACCTGGACTTCAAGATGTGTTGAAGAGAGGAAAGTGTCCCATACCCTGTCAGGCAGCTGCCGAGCTCCTGCACTGCTGTTTGCTCTCCTTGCAGAAGTGAGAACTGAATGGGCCCCGTTGTGTTGCTTTCCCAGCAGCTCTCACCGGGCAGAGCCACAAACGTGGGAGGAGGAAAACGACGGGGGGAGGAAGGGTAAGCCACCCCTGGAGAGAGGGCAGCAACCCAGACATTACCTCCCCCTCGATTCACCGGGGGCTGAGAGCACCAACCCGGCAAAGCCCATGTGGGGTTTGCATTCACTGTTTCCAGGCTCTGCCTTCATTTTCCAGGCTGTGTTAGTCACAGGAGCTACAGAGCTGCAGGGCAGAAAGATGACATCCAGCCAAATTCAAAGATGAATTGCAATGGCAGTTGTAAGCCTGAGCAAAAGGAGAGGCAGCTGACCAGTCCTGCCACGTTTACAGCCCTCCACTCCTGATTTTACTTTTTTGCTTGTTTAGAAGAGGCTGGATTGGCATTGCCTGCATGATGCATCATTAGCTTACAGATGGACATGGAGGCATTCATTTTCCTCCCAGACTGTTGTTTTACCCTCCCAGGGAACAGGAATAGATCTGCAGCCTTACAAAAATATTAGAAGATTTAATACTAGTATCTTGTTCCACTTCAAGCCCTTCTCCTATGCAGCAGCCTCGATAGAAGCTGAAGCAGGTGAGATCATTGGTGGGTAAATAAGCAAAATAAGAGGCTGGGGTGAGGCTGGAGAAGGGCCAGATGTGACGTTCAGTGCCTGGTACAGAACCTTACCCTCTCCATGGTTCTCCAGCAGAGTCCAGGCCACCACCAGGGCGGTTTTGCTGTACAGGCTGCTGGCAAGCCATGGAAGGGGGCTCCTGGCCACAGTCAATGATGGAAGGGACAGGCAGAGAGGAGCAGTGGGGCTGACAGCAGCCAGAGTGGAAGTTCAGGTGTGCTACCTTCACGTCCCATGCCCCATCAGGGAGAGCAAAGAGCGGCTGTCTGACAGCAGCAATCTCAGCTGCCAGAACCAGTATGTCCCAGTAGAGACACTGGCTTCTTCCAAGACCTGCCACACATCCCTGCTTCTCTTACCTCACCGTTCAACATGAGTTGAAGCTGCACCTGCTCTTGCTCACTTACCTCGTTGTCCCACAGCTTCTGCCAATGGACAATGACACACTCAGGCCTGAGAAGCTCCAGCTCCTGTGCCTGAAGGGAACCGTGACCCAACAGCCCCACAGGCTCAGCCTCCAGCTACCCAGTCCCAAATATTTGCCAATATTTTTTGCTTGGCTAAGTTATATTAACATTAATAGAATAATTTTTTTGCTTGTTTTAATATAATCACTTCAGTCTTTGTTCAGAACAGTGCATTACACTGCGCTGGTTTTTATAGTGCCTTTATTGTGTAGCAAACAATTTTGATTAAGATACTTTTGTCTAGTTATTATCATAATAAATTATATAAATTTATATGAATATATTTGGTTTGCAATCCTTTATCCTGAAGGACAAAATTGTGTAAAGGTTCACTTCTATAAAATCTTCTAGATTTGCCTTTGTCTGTTGACAGATCTGGGGCTGAGACCAGGTTCCTCTGTGAGGAATTTAGAAAGCAAGGGGGTCATTTTTGCACCTCATGACTGAGCAGGAGGGCTTTTCTAGCAGATTTTTTCTGCAGCTCCCATTCTGCCTGTGACAGTACCCTTCTAAAGTATCACAGGTTTTCAGCTAAAAATGTCACCTCTTTCCCTTCTAAGTTATCTCATATTTTTTGTCAAATATGCTGACCCACAATGCTGTGTTACGAACCAATGTCTGTGAAAACCTCCAATCACTTGTTTTTAAATTTTTAAAAGTTTAATAGTAATAAAATTGTTATAAAAATACTAATAAAATCATGGTAATAAAAATGTGGACAATTAGGATTAGGACAATACAAGACAATAAAAACAAAGACGTACGGACAGTCTGGGTACCTTTTTCTAGGCAAAATAAGCCTGAAAAAGGACACATGTTAACAGAGGACTAACCTTTAAAAGCAATAGCCTGTTGCATATTCATACATCTCATACAAGATGCATAAATTCCATTCAAACAAAGGATTCTGTCTGGTCAGTGTCAACTTCTTCCTCTGAATCCTGACAGCATCTTCAGGGATGAGCAGGGAAGGAGTTAGTTTCTTCTGAGAAGGGAGCAATAAATACTTTTTCTCTGAAAGACTGAGCTGTCCTGTGGCTGCTATCTCAGTGCAAGTACCCTATTCCTCTCTTAAAAAGTATCTTACATAGCATAGTTTCTATTTTAACATTATGTTATAACCTAAAATTATATTTAACACACTACTTAACAAAATTAATACAACACAACTTTCTAAACATAACACGTATAATATGCATTTTAATATTTGCAAAAAGCCAATCATAAAATACACATTTTTCACACTCTCCCCCTCAGAAATGCCCAATTTTCCTCCCTAAATTAGTCCAAATTCACCTGTCAAAAAGTGCTAATTTGTTTCATGTAATTTATCTCAGTTTTCTGGCAAGAAAGTGGCTTTGGACACCCCAAAAGATTACCTCTTGATTTTCCCTCCAAAACATCCCCTAGCTGTATCCTATGGGTCACCTAAGATTTTATCTCAAAAATATTATTAGTGTCCCATACAGATTACCTCAAGTTTTCCCTCCAAAATGTCCCCTACCAGTTCTGCACCCAAAATATCCATTCTGTCCCCCACAGATTCCTTCAGATTTCCCCTCCAAAATATCTCTTACAGATCACCTCAGATTTTGCTTCTAAAATGTTCTATGCCATAGAGATTACTTCACACTTTCATTCACTCCTTGCAGATTACCTGAGATTTCAGCCCAGTGATATTCCTTCAGGCCCTTTAAAAGGACCTCATGTTCGATCACAAAAAAAGGAGGGAGGTGGACACAGCGGGTCTGGGTTTCCGCTGTTATAAATGAGAAGCCTGACTAGGCCAATATTCAAGCAGCAATCACTTTATTAATTAATATGGTAAAGTATGAGCACTACAGCGCTGGGTACAGTGGGGGAAGTTTTCCTCCAGCTGCACACCCATAGCTGGGGCTGACAGATATTTATTAAGGGTACTCATAAGCTTTCTCAGCAGTTTCTATTCCCAATTTTTACGTCACAATTCCATACACTATTGTGATTTAGTTTTTCTCAGGATGTATCCCAGAAAGGAGTATCCCCAGATGGTGGGGTCCGGCTTCGGAAAGAAGAAAGCAATCTCCCAGCTGGTGAGGTCCAGATTCCAGATGGGGGTCCACCTTTTAATTGCAAGGACTATAAATCTCATACCAGTGATGTCCAGCTTCCCTTGGTCGAAACTATCAGTCCTTGGGTTGATGTTCATCTTCCTTTCTCAAGCTGCTTTTCACTGTTTCGTTAAGGCATCGAGATAAGCATGTTTCCTTTTGATATATTCTAAAGCTATAGTTTCAAAGATCCTTACTACAAGCAATATTCTAAAATTATACCTCAAAAGGTTATTATTGGAAAACTCTTTTTAGCTAGAAGCAGAAGGTTCCTGTCAAACAGCAACATCCTTAAAGCTTTAAGTCGAATGCTCCTAAATCAACTTAAGACTTATAAAGGTTAATTGCAAACAAAGGATAGGTTCAAAGGCCTTCTTCCATGCTTTACTCCCTCAGTTATTTATTAGAATTCATCTTCACAGCTGTCCCACGGTGGGTTTCCGCACACAGCACAGCCACAGACGCACACGCTGCCGGTGTGCGCCCGGCCCGAGCCGCAGCCCCGCGCCTCACGCGGCTGAGGGCAGCGCCGGGGCGGGGCCGCCGCGCCTGCGCGGGAAGCGCGGCCCCGCCGAGCCAATCAGGGGGCGGCGGCCGCAGGACGGCAGCGCGCGCGCGCTCCCGTGTCCCCCTCAGGGCGCGCTCCCGTGTCCCTCAGGGCGCAGCCGGGTCCCCCTCAGCGGCACCGGGCGCGCCCGCATCTCCCTCAGCGATCCGCACCCCTCAGTGGCGTGCAGGGCATCTGCCACCGCCTCAGTTAGGTGCAGGGTGCCCGTGTGCCTCTCAGAGATCCTCACGGCTCCTCAGGGGCAGCTCCCCCTCAAATCACCTTTGTGTCCCCTCAGCAACGCGCAGGGCACGCACCATTCCTTCAGGGACCCTCGCGGCCTCTCAGCAGCACACAGAGCATTTGCCACCCCCTCAGTGACCCTTATGTCACCTCAGAGGAACACGGGGCACCTGCCTCCCCTCAAATGACCCTCATATTCCTCCTCAGAGGAACACAAGTGGCATCTGAATCCTAAACGGTATGTAACAAAAGGTTAACCACCAGCAATATTGTAACAAGATGTGCAGGTAGAACAAGCGAGATAGCAAAGCCAGTGAGAGACCAAGTGCCATCAAGAGCAAGACAGCAAGTTCCAACTGAACTTCCGAAAGGCAAAATTAGCTAAAATCAAATTAGATGGACCAAAAAGAAGCACCAGGCATGTGCTGTAGAGGTAAAAGGTTCAAACATGAGGAAGGCTACAGGAATTTTCATCAAAACTTCATCAAAATTTTCATCCACCAGAAGACACATGACCACCACAGAACAAACTGATGCATTCACAAAAGCAACAAACTGATGACACAGCTTTATGCAAATATGAGCATGCTAATGATATCGTGAAATTGTGATGTTGCATGGAAGGACTTTTAAAATGTAACTGAAGGCTAAAGAAGACTGAGTGGGGTTTTGGCAGAGAGATCCACCTCACTCCCAGCACTGAATAAACAAATACCTGCTCTGTAGCCTTCTGACAACAAAATTTTATTTTCTTGCACAGTTTTGGGCTTCACATTTACCTCCCCTCAGTGACACTCATGGGCCCTCAGCAGCATGTGTGGAATCAGCCATTCCTTCAGTGACCTTTTATGCCCTCAGTGACACATGGGGCACCTGCCACTCACTCAGGGACAGTGAGACTCATATTCCCTCACTGACCCCCACATCCCCTCAGCATCACAAGGGGCACCCACCTCTCCCTCAGTGTTCATTGTGGTCCCTACGGATTACCTCAGGTTTTCCTTCCAAAATGTTCTCTTCCATTGAGAATACTTCCGATTTTCCCTTCTTAATGTCCCCATCTGCACTTATTCATTACCTCTCATTTAGGCCCCAAAATGCCACCTACTGATTACCTCCGATTTTACCTCCAAAATATCCATTTTGTCCCCTACTGATTTTCCTCAGATTTCCCCTCACAAATTTTCCTATTTGTCCCATACAGATTACCTCAGATTTGCCTCAAAAATATTCATTCAGTCCCTTGCAGATTACCTGAGATTTTACCTCAAAAATTTCTTTCCAGCCCCTAAAAATTACCTCAGGTTTTATCACAAAATTTTCTCTGCCTGTCCTCTCTGAGTTACCTCAGACTTTCCCCACCTTTTCCCACAAACAATTTTCCCCTGTAGAGATCTCCTCAAATTTTCCCACCAAAAATGTCCTCCACAGATTACTGCATCTTTTGTTGCCACAGTCCAGTGGGAATAAAACTCCTCAACTTTACCCCTAAACAGTTCATTCCTCCCCTCTGAAGTTCTTGCTGTTGCCTCTTGAGTTACTTCAGCATTTACCCTCACAAACTGAAACCCCCTGCAGTCCTGTGACAGTGCAGGTCCATTCATTTTTTACCATAAAATCCCTGTTCTTGGTTTTTCAATTGTCCAAAACAGTGTGACATTTTTTACAGTTCTTTCATTCCCACTCCACAGGTTTCCAGTCCCTGTTTTATGTATCCATTCCAACTGTGCATCACAGTTTTATTCTCTTCCTACCATCTGTCTTCCCCATTATCCTGTCATATTTTCTCCCCTTAGCATTCAAGTAATCTTCTTCCAGCTTGCTCTGTTCTTTCTTATGAACATCCCCAATCACATCCAAAGCTTTACTTTCCTCTTCTTGAAAATAAAGCACTTAACCCTTCTGGATGCTCTCTGGACAAACTCAGTTTGGGAACAGGCTGGTAGCACTTTGACCCTCAGTCTAAATGACAGCCTGTAGCACTCAGGTGACGCCAGAACCTTACCTTAGTGTTCTGCCATTCCCAGGACTGGAGATCTCAGTCAATATATTCAGGATATTTAACGACTAAATTACAAATCCATTACAAATGTGCAATTATTATTTTTTGTTTAAGGCTGTAAATGTAAACACTTTTGTACAGTTTTGGTACAGGAAGAGAAAGAGTATCCATCTGAAACAAAGCCTACCACCTTCTTCCCCCTGATAATTTTTAGCTCTCACTGCAGATTTTGGGAAATTTAGAGACAGGTTTGCCATAGGGCTTTGAAGGCTTTTTTGTACCTCAAGAGCACTGTTTAACAGCCTCACCTCTAGGATGGCTCTGTGCCCAGAGAATCTGCCAGAGAGCCGAGCCCCGTGGAGACAAAGGCAAACCCTCACACAGCTTCAGAGCTGCTGCGAGAGCAGAATCTGATGCACTGACTTGCTCCCCAGACAGCACCCACTGGGAGGTGCCTGCCTGGCCGATTCCTGTGGTGTTTCCATCTCCAACTGAGGTGAAGTCTGGTGCCAGGAGTCCTGGGCTGGTTTCCTTGACAACCAGAAGAAATGCACAACTGAGATGCACATGACTTTTCAGGTGCTATTTTAACTCCTGTGAAACAATGAGCTGCCCCACCAGAACTGAGATAAATAAAACCAAGGTGTACAGCCAAATGGTGAAC